AAAAGTTTGGAATTTAAAATGTCTATCATTTGAAATAACTAACCCGTGCGAATGCACGGGTTGGCGACTAGTTAAATAAATAACGGGCCCAAGTAGTCACTGAGGATAACGTGTGATCCTCTAGCTATCGTCATTTTTCTGCTGTGCCGAACGAGCATTTAGCATAAACTGACTGGGATATTCCGGCGTTGAAGAGTATAGGGTGCGGGCTTCATGGATTTTGAAGTCAAGGTTCAATGTAGGCTAAGAGTATGAATTTAAGTTTTGCTTAGACTTTTCGATAGTGGCTGATTTTGTTTTCGATGGTGGTCTTCTCGATAGTTGCCCGTGAGGGCATCTTTACCCGCGCCCCCAACAGGCCCTTCCCAGGCGATTTTGCCGCGCCGGCGCCAAAAAAAGGCCCCAGTCGCGCCTCTAGAAGTCCGTTTTTCGCCGGCTCGGACCAAAATTGGTGCCGGTGGACCCAGGCCGAACCCGGCGCCCTGGGGGGCGCTTGGGGAGCCGGCACAAGCGAAAAAGGCGTGTGGGCCCACCCTGGAGACGATCCGAGGGCCTTTTCCCATCGTTTCTTGACGCTTTTCCCTCGCATCTCTCCCGCTCGCTCGCCTTCCTCCCGCCATTCTCTCCCTTTCTCCCGCCAAACCCCCTCCCGCTCGCCGCGAAGAAGTACGCCATGCCGTCGAAGAAGTACGCCATGCCGCGCGCAGCGGCAACCGCGACTGGCGCCGTGGCCCAGCCGAAGCAGAGGAAGCCGAGGGCGCCGCCATCGAAGCCACCGGGCCTGTCGAACGCCGAGTGGAGGGTGGAAGTTCAGCGACACGAAGCAGTCACCGCCGACAGGCGGAACAGGGCCATAGCCAAAAAGGCCCGCGACAACGCGGCGCGCGCGGCGGCGTCTTCCTCATCGGTCGACCAGGCGGGGATGAATCCACCCGTCGTCAGCCACGCCCAGTACGCGCCTTGGGGACAACAAGGCGCCGGATCCCCATGGGGTTCATCGTCGCCCGGCTACACCGACGGCGACGCGCACGGTGCGTTCAACCCAAACGTGACCATCCCTCATGGTCACCCCGCTACGCGCACGCCCTCGCCCGCCTTCGTCGGCGTGCAGTACCCTCCATACAACTACTCGCCGTCCGCCGCCTACGCGTCCACACCGATGCCAAGGAGACATACAAGCCGGACGCGATGACTCCGGGCGCGTCAGAGGGGCGGCCGGACGGCCACAAATTGGCAAAGAAGGGGAAAAACGCCGACGTGGCAACCGCGCGAGTGCAGGAGTCCATCGAGCATTGCCTCGCCGACGCCCAGGCCCGGGCCGTCCTACGCGAAGAGAAGACCGAGGCGCGGTGGTCGTCGCTAATGAAGAACAACGCCATCAAGCTCGACCTGCTCCGGACGAACGTCGCCGCGAAGAAGAGGAACACCGACATGGCTTTTCTGATGGGCGGGGCGGACATGCTCCAGAGCAACGACGAGAAGCTCAAGGCGTGGTACCTGGTGCAGCGCGGCCTCATCCTGAACGAGCTGCCGACGGCAACGGCGCCGACGCCGACGACGCCCACGACCACACGGACGCCAAGCCCGAACGACGCCTCTACATCGCCGCCCAGCAGTGTCGAAGCCGCGCCGACGCAGCCCAGCACCGAAGCAGCTCCGAGACCGACGAGCCCGCGCACGCCGACTCCGCCAACGCCTGGAGCCGACCCCGCCGAATGAATCGTTGCGCACGCGAACTTGCGGCGGCGGCGCTCTGTTTTTTGTAACGCCAGCCGCCGGATTTGCGGTGTCTTTTGAGAGTGGGAACGACCAAGTTTAAATTTTCCGCATCCTGGGGCCGGCGCGTTGGGGCGTGACTGGGAGTTAGGTCATCCCCAGGGGCCGAACTAGCGCCGACACGTCCCCAGACCGCTCTATTTAGGTGCCCTGGGGGGCCGAACGGCTGGAGATGCCCTGAGCGTCGGGCTTAGAGCATCTACAGTTGTACTCTTCAAATTGATTGGGCGGACGCAAGACCACTGACCGAATAGGAGAGAGAAGAAAAAAGTTGATCCAATCGAATCCCTCAAAGCCTCCTTAAATGTCCGGGCTATCCGGCACTCTTCATATTGGCCTTATATATGGGATGAATATGAGTTACGACCAGACCTGTCCGGTCAGTAGTCATGCGCCCGCCTCATAGCATTTGGCCCAGCATCCACCACTTTTTCTCTTTATTTATTCTTGGTCTTCTTTCTCTCACTTCATATTCACCGTCCACATGCATGTGACCGAATGCATAGCAGAACATAGGGACATGACTATGAAAATTTAAATTTAAAAGGTGATTGATCACTATTCACGGACGCACCCGAACACAGGAGCAACTAATTAATGATCACTCCTTTGGGAGCCTCGCAACGATCACCGCCACTTGGCGCACTCTCAGCCATTCGTCACGTGTCGCGCTCTGGGCGCTCCTTTCGAATTTTTTTTATTTTTCCGCACGCGCTTTCAACTTTTTAAACGTTTTGGTTTTCCACCGGTCTTCCCTAGCTTTTCGACCAAAATTTTATTTTGAAATTTTTTCTTTTGTGCAAGAACGCATTTTTTTCCTTTCGTGAAAGTCACAGTTTGCTTCCGCGAGAGGCACAGTTTTGCTTTCACGAGAGTCATGGCCGTGCCTCTCGGAAACGAAAAAAAATCGTTTTCTGTTTTTTTCTTTCGCAAGAGTCACGGTTTTACTTCCGCGATAGGCACGGTTGAGCTTCCGCGAGAGTCACGGCTGTGCCTCCTCGGAAATGAAAAAAAAACACGTTTTTTGTTTTTTATTTCTTTCGCGAGAGTCACGGTTTTGCTTTCGCGAGAGCACGTTTGTGATTTCGTCAGAGGCACGGCATGCCTTTTTCGAAAAGGGAAAAAACCCGTGCTCCCGGTTCTGTTTTTTCGTCCATTTTTTTGTGAAAAAAAAGTTCGTCAAAACCTATCATGGAATCTAGTTTCGAAGATCTCGACACAAGTAATCCACAGCGAAATCAGTTCGAGATTTGGACGCACGGTTTAAGAGATAAAATATTTTGAATAAACGGATCTACGAAAAAAGGGAAAACTCCCAGGTTGCGACAAGTGGCGCACATACAGCGCGCCACTTGTCGCAACCTGAGGAAGTTGAGTGATCTTTGTAAGGAGTACTCCTTAGGCCAACTCCACCGAGTGACCCCAAACGGACGTCCGTTTTGCCCGGATTCTGTCCATTTGGGTAGGGCGATGGGGTCGTGTCCGGGCCTGTACTGGGATACAGTGGCCGTGCGCCCAGCGCGCGGTCTCGTCCTTTGGCCCTATCGTGTCCGCCTCCATTTTTCAAACAACAACGTTTCAAATCCCAGCGGCCTAGTTCACGCTCCAGAGAAACCGGCCGGAGGACAAATGCCCATCATGAGTAGGGCGTGCGCTTTGTTGACGATGGCCTCCTTCTCCTCGACCTCGGCCTTGCGCCGCGCGGCCTCAATCGCAGCGCGGTCGGCGGCGAACTTGGCCGCGGCGATGTTGTCCTTGGCGACCGCCCTCCGGCTCCTCCTCCTCGCCGATTCCGCGTCCAACTTGACGATCTCCTCTGGCGTGCACTCCGACCGCGGCTTCCTGGGCGCCTTGGCCTTCTTCTTCTTGGCCATCCAGTGCGGGACGTCGGCCATGGACGGGGGAGGGAGGGGGATGGCGGGACGTGGGAGGGTTTGGGGGGAAATGGCGCCAAAGAGGGCGTGGGGGGGAGGGGGGTTGCTTTGTGTCACCGACAGGCGGGCCAGGGGTGGACAAGCACGCGCGTCCCGCCCGTCTGCCCTTTGTCCGTTTCACCTCGAAATCGGCGCAAACTTGGGCTGGGGATGGATCGGAAGCGGACACAAAACGGACAAAAGTCCGTTTGCTCCCGCGCGTTGGGCCGTCCGATTTGTTTATTTTACCCTAAACGGACGGGCCGGACGGGATGGGATCGCGCGGTAAAGTTGGCCTTCGCTAGTGTTTTCGCCCGAACACCTCTAGAGAGTAAGGGCCAGATTAGATGTACGTACGTCATGGCATGCGAAGAAGAAACCGTGCAGGGCCGAAACTCGTGTAGGCCGAGAGCCCCAGAAGAGAATCCAAGCGGGACTTGCTCGTCTGCGTGGCGGAACGAGAGCCCGTGCATGCCCACCTCATGTCAGCCCAACGACACATGGCCACCTCTCTTCTCAGGGCATGTACAATGGGGGCAGTGGTATGGTGATGCCCCAAGATCCACGTAGGAGCAAGTAGATTAAGCATCCCCTTCATTCACCGTATGGTCCCTCCTATATTCTCTCTCTCGTCATCTTCTTTTCCCTCTAAATCCATGGCTGCACATGTTTGTTGTGGTCCTCTGCTACCCTTTGCATATGATTTTTCCACTTTCCTCTTCTTTTCTTCTTCTTTTTGGTTGAAGCACCAGCCTCCTCTGCAAGAGTCCGTTTGGCTCTGCAGGCAGCACTCTTTTCTCTCTGTCCCCTTTTCATCCAACGTGGACTGTAGGGCAGCACTCCAGCATGGAGCGTTGGTCATGCCCTCATGGGCTATGCCCATTCGCTCCCGTCCGCGCGTTCGTTCATTGACCACCGCGGAAGCCAGCAAGCGTGGCGCCCAAGCCGCTGTCACGCCGAGCGAATAAACGGAGGGCATCTATTCTCCCCCCACCGATCCCCCCTCCCAACCCCGCGTCCCCGCGACGGCCCCCTTTCCC